TGGCAAGTAAGAAGAGGTTTAAGGCTACTGGTAGCAATGTAAACTTGTGAAGCCACTATGGAAGTCAGAATGAAAAAGAGAAATTAAAAAAGGAAGGACATGACTGCTCCTAGGTATGGTGGAGAAGACGGTTTATTGTAGATAAAAGGGGGAGCATAGGCAGAGGCGGGAACCTCTGGGAGACTCCAGAGTAAACATGACCAGACTGAGCTGGGCTATGTGAGGAGAGATGGGAGGAGTCTCCAACCAAGAGGGACAGCCAGGTCAAGAAACAGGCATAGCCAAGATGGCTGAGCTATGTTGGGGTCAGAGGAACTGGGAGGAGGAAAGCACAGCCCAACACCTGTGTTGGGGAGTTCAGGGTAGGGGGTGGGGTATACCAGCCAGGAGGGTCCTCTAATGGGTAGACTGTGGGGTACTGGGAGAATCTGGTAGCCACCTTCTGTGGGGTTGGTGGGTAAACGCCCCACAGACTGGCACCATGAACAGGGACTAAAGAAAAAAGAAAAAAAAGGGACTAAAGAAAAAAAGGGGGGACTAAAATAAAGGGAGGACTAAAGACAAATGAACAGGGACTAAAGATAAAGTAATAGGGACTAAAGATAAAGGAAAATAATAGTTTTATTACAGAGTTTTTGGCCAAAGGCATGCCAGTGTTATGGAAATATATATATATATTCCTCGAGAGAAAAGGAAAGCGGACTGGAAGGATGTCCGATGCTGCAGCAAAATTCTCTTCTGTCAAAATTTTCTATCTTCTATCCTTTTCTCAATTTTTATCTGTGAAAAATAAGTATAAGGTATAGGGTAGTAATATAGTGTAGGAAAAACTTGGAAGTGTAAGATCGTGTAGGAAAAAATAAGTAAGGCAACTAGACAGAAAAACTCTTCAATTTTCTAACTTTGGGGGCTTTGAATGCAAACTGGGGGAAAAAAATCTTTCTTTGGTCTTTACAGGTAGTAAAAAAGCTCTTCTTTGAATTTATGGGGAAGAAAGTTTCCTATGGAAGCTTTTGTCCTGGGGACAGCTGAAATGCTAAATCCAAGCGGCAGGAGAAAGTAATTTCTCCCTGAGGCAAAAATAGGGGTCTAAAAAGCCAAAAAGCTTAAATTCAGAAGTTTTGGGAAAAGTTGGTCTTTCTCTCTTGGGAAAAAATCTTTCTCTTAAACTAAAATGCTTTCTTGGAAATTTTGGGGGAAAATCTCTCTAAAAAGCCTTAATCTTTCTCAAAAGCTCTCAAACTTAAAAACTAAAGCCTTTCAGAACTCACTCTCTCAGAAGGACAAAAATTAGAATCACCTGAAGATATTAGTATGGGGACCACCTGTGATTAGCTCTAAGGGAAAACAACAAACTTCTTAAGACAGCAAAACCTCTCTAAGTTCTCTTTCAAGCTTTAAAAATCCTCCCTGCAAAGCAGGAGGCAGGGACAAGTTCCTAAAACACCTCTTCTAAGCTCTGTCTCTTCAAGCTAGTAAGACAGTGGGTCAGAGTACCCTGAGGGAAACGCTTGGGACAGTGTGGGTAAAGAGCTACAGAGAGCCCAAAAGGACTGGAAACTTTACCTGAGAAAAGCAAAAAAGCCAAACTTTTCAGTTACAGCCGAGCTGAGACAGCAAAGGATTTGTTTGAGTGAGCGTTTCAGAATGAAAAGGTGCTCCTAATCGTCCTAATGCAAAGATCCCCTGAAACAATGCAAACTGTTAGCATTGTATCCTAGCTTCTGAGCAAAAATCCAGAGGCGACTGGCCAGCATCTCTGAGTTGGAGTGCATTTCAGGGACACTAGGGTTCCTGCAGTTGTAACTTCCTGGAGCACAGAGCTGAGGCAGGAAGGTGCAGGACCCAGGGGAAGATTGCTAATGAACAAACAAAGCTAAAGCCGGTGGGAACAGCACAGTTGTCCGCTTTCCTACAAGTCCCAGGTTGATAGGTCCACAGCTGAAAAAAAAGAAAATCTGAGAAAAGCTTTCCTATCAGAGTAAGGACCTTTCTGGGAAAACAGTAAAGTCGAACTGTGCCTGAAGCAGTTGTGCTGGTGAGTCAGAACGCAGTCTGGGGAAAGAGCCCAGCCAGGGCAGAACAGAACTATCCAGGAGTAAAGCTTTCTTTTCTGTCAGAGAAAGCACCTCTTTGAGAAAAGCTTTGTTTCAACTGACTCCCTGAGATGAGGGAGTGTAGCCCTAAGGGGTGATTGCCTCTGACATAAGCTCTGTCCTTGAGCACCCAGACAAGCAAATGCAACCCACTGGGGGACTGGGCCAGGTGAAGGCCTGATGAGGCAAAACACCTGTCCTAATGGGAGTTTAGAAATGGCAAAAACCTCCCCTGTTAGGAAACCAGAAGCTTAATTTATGAACACAAACCTCAGACCCCGAAAAACAGAAACGGACTAAAGCCCCTACCTTCAGAAGCAAAAAAGCTGTCGCTGTGGCATTGGGAAATGTTTCTGGGGTAGAGGGGATAACTTGAGACCAAACTGGGAACTGTCTGGGAGAAAGACTCTGAAGAAACAGAGATGGGACATAATCCTCCCCAGAAAATGCATGACCTGAAAAAGCTGCTAGAATTTGAGGCAGATTCGGGGGGAGAAAAAAAAGCCCCTACCTCCAAAGGCAGCTAGCAGAGGTACAGAGCCACAGACAGATACCTGAAGCTCTGCATCTGGGGGGGAAGGAACAAGCAAAATGAGATAGATAAGTGGGAGAAAATCTCTCTGAAAGAGCTATAGAAAAGCTGTTGTACATGATCTTGTTTTTCACTGACTGGCTAAGACAAACACAGGCCCCGAGGAAAGTTGCTATCAGAAATGCCAGCCTCAATGCCGGCTAACGAGGCAGGTGCGGTTCTGATTCGGGGACCAGTGTCAAATGAAGGAGAGACACCTGTTAAAGCCAGCTGAGGAGAGAATAGAAATCTCCCAATGTGCTATAGCTGAAAATGTAAAATGCTTGCTAAATCTCCTGTTGCAAAAGCAAAAAACTTTGTTCAAACCCCCCAGGCAAGAATAAGCAAGTCTGGTAAAAGAGAACCAGTTGACTCTCGGACCCAAAAAGAACTATGGGAAATGAAGTCCAAAAGCTAGCTTGCAATAGGGGACTGATATAAGGGAAATGCATTCTGGGAAAGGTAGTTTTTCCGCTAAAGATGGAGCCATTGCCCTGAAACACTTTTGTCAGCTCGAAAATACGTTCTTCTATCTAATATTTCCTGCTGCTTGCACTCAAGAAAACTCTGGGGAGCTGTGGGTTTGGTGGGTAAATGCCCCACAACCATCTGCTTTGATATGTACCTCAGTTAGCCATTTGTCCCAAGTTTGAGACCTAACAGTCAGTATGGAGGCTCCTCATAAGAAGTAAAAAGAGGGGCTGGGGATTTAATAAACTCAGTTGGTCAAGTGCTTGCCTACCAAGCAGGAAACCCTGGGTTCCATCCCCAGCACAGCACAAAACTGGGAGTGGTAGTGCACACCTATAATTCTAGCACTCAGGAGATGGAGGCAGGAGGATCAGGAGTTTAAATTCGTACTTGGCTGGAAGTTTGAGGCTGTCCTGGGCTACATATGAGCCGGTCTCTACCTTTTGGCCCAGCTATACTACTCCTGGGTATATACCTGTGACCATACCACAGAGATGCTTGCACATCTATACTTAACTGCAGCACTATTCACAATAGCCAACATATGGAATCAACCTCAGTGTCCATAAATAGATCAATGGATAAAGAAAATGTGGTGTACTTACAAAATGATTTGATCCAGCCATAAAGAAGAATGAAATTGGGCTGGAGAGATGGCTCAGAAGTTAAGAGCATGGGCTGCTCTTTCAGAGGACCTGGGTTCAATTCCCAGAAACTCCATGGCAGCTCACAGCTGTCTGTAATTCCATTTCCAGGGGATCTGACACCCTCACACAGACATTCTTGAAAATAAAACCATTATAGAAATGGAGAACAAATTAGTGTTTGCCATGGAAAATGGTATGATTAGACAACCAGTTGCCAGCACAATTTCTTTGTGTTGATACAATGATTCTGTCTTGGCTTCAATGGTGTTTATAGAAATTTGTGAGTGATACACTTACACAGATCTCTACATATGCATACACATAAAATAAGTGCATGTAAAAACTTGAAAGTAGAATATTAAGCCTTTAGATTACACTAACATTGATTTCCTGGTATTGATGTTAATCTATTTTTAAGACATCCCTTTGGAGGAAAATAGGTGAAGGGTACACTGGACCTGAGTATGTTGTTTTTGCAACTTCCTGTGAGTCTATAATCATCCAAAGAGAAAAGTCAAGAAAATTTTCTTGTCACTGTTTCTTTGTGTGGTGTGTTCAGTATGTCACTTGGGTTGCTTTAAGGACCAAGAAGTAAGCTTGGCAGGAACACAGTGGAGTCTTGTCAGTGACTAACCAAGTACTAAATGTTGCCAAGTCAGATCTCATTTCCTAACACCCATTTGTGGAAAGTACTCTCAGTCCAACCCCTGGACCATAAACTCTTTGCATCCTTTTATTAAACATTTTTATGTCCAAATCTTTTATTAATTTTTGCTTAGTTATTTGTGAGACAGATTCTCATATATATCAAGCTGGCCGCAAACTAGCTATGGAGCCAAGGATAACCTGCAACTCTTGATTCTCCTTCCTCCCAAATGCAGGGATTACAGGCATGTGCTACCACATGCAATTTGCTGTTTTTGAAAAGAATGTTTTTAGTTAGCACACAAAGTACATGGTTAACATTTTGAAAGTCTACCTGAAAAGTTGCTTTTCATTCAACTTCAATTTTTATTTTTGGCAGTGCTTTAGGTTGAGCCCAGGGCCTTATGCATGCTAAGCATGGATTCCACCCCTGAGCTGCATAGCTAGAGCCTCAAGGTCAGACTTTTGATCAAATCACGAGTGGGACAAAGTGAGAGGAGGTGAGAGGAGGGAGTGCTGGAAAAGCTGTTGCAGCCTTCAGGGTATTGTGTAGGTGGCAATCTACCAAAGGTTCTTTCTTTCTGCACACTAGAAATGGACTCCTATCCTTTTGTGTTATCCTCAGGTTCAGAATGTCACTGAGCTACAATAAGCATGCTTTGATAGACTTATACCTGCATGAATTCGACAGTTCCCTGAATAGATGCTAATCAACTATCAGGTAATTTCCTACTAGTGGTTGTGTTTAAAACATAAATATGCCCAGGAATTCTTGGTCTGATGTTCCCCAAAATCTATTAAGCCCAATGTACCTTAGATATAGATATTAAGAATTTAATTAGCTCCAGACTCCAATTCTTTTCTTTCAAATATCATTTTATATGTATGGATATTTTGCTTGCATGTACACTGTATACCATATTCATAACATGTATTACACATGTAAGCCAGAAGACATGTCGGATCCCCTGGGGCTGGAATTACGGATAGTTGTGAGCTGCCATATGGGTTCTGGGAATCAACACTAAGCTCCTAAATTTCTTGACCTAGAGACTTGGGAGCATGAAAACATTTGGCACATTGTCTGAAATGAGTATAGACACTCTGGCTGTGCATAGGTTTAAACTATTAGAAATCTAGCTTGTATGATAACAGAATATGAACCATTAATAAAAGACAGAGCAACTAGTGTAAGAAAAAATCAAAGAGGTTTCTACATTTCATTGTTTTGAGAAGTACATGTTAAGAGGATTGGTTTTAATACATGGCATTGATGTTTGAGGTCACTCCTTAATATTCAATGAAATTGCAAATTGGCTTTCACTTTCTAAAATGGATTGTTTAAAAATCAGTCATATTAGCCGGGCGGTGGTGGCGCACGCCTTTAATCCCAGCACTCGGGAGGCAGAGCCAGGCAGATCTCTGTGAGTTCGAGGCCAGCCTGGTCTCCAAAGCGAGTTCCAGGAAAGGCGCAAAGCTACACAGAGAAACCCTGTCTCGAAAAACAAACAAACAAACAAAAAAAAAATCAGTCATATTCCAATGAGCTGACATACTAATAGCCTTAGTGCCACCAAAGAGAGACTTCCTTCTGGGTGTGCTGCAATTTGTGTATCCTGAACTGCAGATTTTTGGCCCTGCTGAGGCTCTCCTGGTTGTAGTAGAATAACTCAGGAAGGCAGACTTAGTGTTTTAATGGTACCATTTCCAACCTTTGAAGCTAGGACGGGGAGGGGCAAGAATCAACTTCCTGCTGGTTTTAAAGTTTGAGAACAGAGGCTCAACCAGCTGAACTTGCTGCTCCATCTTTCTCTATGGCCTTTCTGTCCCTTTCAGGTCAGACAAGGAGCCACAGTCCTGCCAAGTAGATCTCGATATCTACACTCCCACAGATGCTTAGAACTTTTGACCTGCCTCTCTTCCTTTCAAATTTTCTGGTCTTGCCTGGAGAGTGGAGGTTATGTGCTGAAGATACTTCTTTATCCTGTTCCTCTTCACCTACTCATGCCAGGTGAGGAACCATGGAGAGTGACTACCCAAAGCTACCTAACAGATGTTCAAAATAAGAGTTGGCACTTAACACTTGGGCTGAGAGCTGAGATTTCCGGGTATTCAGCAAGTTCCATCCTCAGGGCTATGTTACTATTTCTCAGCTTATTGTCACAGCCTTCCTCCAGGACCACTTCCAGAGCAAATGGGCTGGCTCATGTGGTAGTCTCCTTTTCAATGGACATGACTTCTGGTGGAGGCTTCTCTTAGCTACTCAACTGGGAACCACACTGTAAATGACACTAACATCTGAGGCTTATCTGATTGCCCAGGTTAAGCTTTCTTAACTTTCCTGCTTCCACTTCAAATCAGTGAAATACTGAGCCAAGGAAAAAGGAAATGACTGATAGTGTTGACAATGGAGCTATTAAGTTGTTTTGTTGTAAGGGACTCGCTTAGAGGCAATGGTAAGATATTCTCAAAATGTGGGAGTGCCAGCATCTCTTCACTGTGGCTCTGAAACAAAGTATAATTAGAAATGTTTAGTTCGCTGATTGAAGCACATGCATACATACACACACACACACACACACACACACACACACACACACACACACACACACACACATACCTCCCTGAAATGGACTTCAAGAAACATAAATGTCAAACATAATTTCCAGACTTGCAATCTAAAGCATTAAGTGGCAGTGGCAAGGAATTGCTGGTTAATATTTTCACTAGTTCACTACAGTCTGAGCCTTATTTAACTTGAAACAACTCTCAAGTCAAAATATGGGTCGAGTTGAAAAATCAAAGCAGAAAACTCTTGCCTAGGAAGTGTATGTGGAGGTTGGGGGAAAAGCTAGGGACCCAGATAGCCCCAGAGAATGGCTGAAAAGACCTTGGTCTGGCTATTCCTACCATCTAGCCATCCTGGGAGGAATTCAGACTGAAACTTCAATGTACTTAATAATTCAAGTCCTGGGATTGACCAAGGCCAAAATTAAATGCCCATTAGATCTCCTCTAATAGAGTAGAATTAAATAATAACATTCTCAATCTTATTATAATCTCCACAACTAAAAATCCCCCAAATTTCTGACCTTACTTGAGAACAAATGAATGCACACTAAACTAGTATTAATAAAACTGACATTGTTACATACAATTATAGCTTAAAATTTTTTAATGTATGTGTACATGCCTGCATGAGTTTATGTGCACCACACATGTGCACAGCATAGATGCCCAAGAAGGTCATCGGATCCCGTGGAACTGGAGTTACAGTGGATTCAAGCTGCCTGGTATGGGGTGTTGGGAACTGAATCTGGATCCTCTGTAAGAGCTCTGAAATTTGGAGCCACCTCTTCAGTCGCCAATCCTTATGTTTTTATCCATTTTTGTTAGCTGGGGACTGAACCCAGAGCCTCACACATGCTAAGCAAATACTCTACAACTGTGACAAATCCCCAACTACTATGCATCAGTTTTAAAACTAAAACTAAAACTAAAAAAAAATAAAAACAACAACAACAAAAATGCCCCAATAAAAGTGGGAAATAGCTGAGCTTGCCTGCTTGAGATTTTTTCCTTTTGTTGAAAAATTCTGAGATATCATTTCTGTTGTGCCCATTTCCATTGGCATATGTAGTTGCTTTTTTTTTTTTTTTTTTTTTTTGAGTAAAATTGCTCTCAACTGAAGTAAAGGAATGGAGCCAGTATTTTATAGTATCTATTCAGATGGGCTATCTGCAGATGTTGCCCAGCCACCACTAAGGATGAAAAGGCTTAAGAGGGCATAATAGGTCTGGGAAGTGAGCAGAGTTTAGACCTATTCAGGGAGCCATTTGGTTCCCACATAGTTGTGAACTAAAGTTCCTAGGGAAAAAAAGTAGCACCTGTGTGTTAAAGGCTGATTAACTGATCCGAACTTCAGTAGTTGTGGAGAGCCAAAATTTTACACAGCCAGAGGCAAACTACCTTGTTATCTTTACTTCCCTTAATAGCCATTCACTGCATACCTTTCTGTTTGGTGTTTGAACTAACATCCATACTGTGATCATTAGGTAACAGAGTTTTAGAGTGTGCAAACAGACCATTAGTTTCCACCAACTCAATTGCTAAGAATGTTATGAGAGAGCATTTGAGGCCTATAGCAGATTTCTCCACTTTGCTATAACCTACCTACTCAATATTTCCACCAATGTATCTTGAAATTGCTTCAATTTATATTTTGTTGCTGTTGTTTTGTTACCGTAAAAACTGCATAAAACTGCTATCACACTGGTACTTGAGGTAAGCCTGAATCTGGTGCCATGATCACACATATTTAGCTCCAAAATAAACTATCTCTCATCTCCTTTGAGGCAAGTGCTATGTGTTGGCATTGACAGATTTTGGCATCCAATGTGATTAGATTTTATCCAAATGCTAAGTTTGTCTGTTTTCCCATTAGGTTGAAGTTTTCCCTCACAAATAGTCCCTGCCTTAACAGTAGAAAAATTCCTTTAAAAAGAATTATTCATGCTGGGTGGTGGTGGTGCTTGCCTTTAATCCTAGCACTTGGGAGGCAGAGGCAGGCAGATTTCTGTGAGTTTGAGACCAGCCTGGTCTACAGAGCTAGTTCCAGGACAGCCAGGGCTACACAGAGAAACCCTGTCTTGAAAAACAAAAACAGAAAAAAAAGAATTACTCCTCCCTGTGACATTCCTGCTGTACTGCATAGCAATTGTAGAACCAATTTTAATGGATAATATGTAAATTTATATATAAAATTTGGCCTGTAATACAATTTCCATTGTGCCTATCATCATTTAGATTGATGATTAAATGAACAAATGGCCCTAGTGGTCAAAACCGAATAAAGCTTTTGGATTTCTTAGCAAAACACACTCCCATTAGTTTTTCTAAATCTAAAACCTACTGTGAAAACATCCATTATCTCCTAATGTCCTGGTTAGTTTTTTTCTGTTAACTTGACACAAACTAGAGTTATGTGGGGAGAAGAACTTCAATTGAGAAAGTGCTTCCATCACATTGCCTTCCTAGCACCTTGACACCACAGCTGTAAGGTAATACTTCACAGAAAAGGCTTCAAATCTATAAGTAAAAATATGTCACCTCCGTGACTATTTTGGGATGTGATTCTACAAAGCAGTCTTTACTATCCTGTTCAGGAGGAGATCTTTTGGCTCAGAATACAGTCAGTTCAGTACTTAAGACGAATTGTAGTAGTCCTCTTCCCTAGCCTCTTCCCCTCTGCACTTAAAAATAGTCACCACTGGCTGACATTCTAATTTATTCTCAGTCTCTAGCAGAATGGTCTTTAATATGAACAAGGCCAGCTGCAGAAATATCAGGCTAGCTTGTTGGCTTTATGCCCGTCCATTGAAGGGGAAGGGAGCAGAGCTGAAGGGTTCTAATTCTCATGGAGACATCACTGAGCTCTGCAACTTTTCTCCAACTGAAACGGCTTCCTGTTTAGCTTCCAAACAATTCTCCACTTCCCAGTGTTCTTGAACTTGGGCCAGAACTGTTTCTTAGTCTCTACTGTTCTTATTCTATACTGCACTCAAGCAGACACACTGCTTTCAGCAGGGTTAGTTCCTTCAGTTCCACTCAGAAGCATGAGGATGGGGAACCAGAAGACATGACAAATTGAGCTTTGCTTGGGAGCCACCTCGTTGGACCAGAATGTCAGACACACATAGCAAGACCAGAGAGTGTCTTTAGTTACATTCCTTCTGGACTGCTCATGCTTGAAACAGACTAAGAAGAGGCATATTTAAAGAATTCTAAACAAGCTGCTTGTGAGTTTTTAAAAAGAATCACTTCCAATTATTTATATTGCATTTGTATTCACAAGAAAAAAAAAAACTTCAGCCAAAACTAAAAACAAACTTTTAGAGAATGCTCTGAATGCCGCCTTTAAAACTGCAAGGAGCTGGGAGTGTGCTACAGTGAGAGAGGGCTTGCCTAGCTTGGGAAAGGCTCTGGGTTCCATCCCTAGCACATGGGGAGGGGTGTAGAATGGATTCCGAAAGGATTCCAAAGTGACATGATACTCATTAAGTGCCTATTTTGTGCACTGCCTTCCTTGCTGAATATGTTATCTCCTTTCTCATCTCAGCTCCCTATATCGAGGTGATAAAACAAGCTCACACTAGTTTTTAAACTAGTGTCTGTCAAATGTATAGAAATCATGGAAGCATGTAGTAAGAAAAAAGAGTTTGATAGCACAAAAGGATATGAACACCCACCAGTCTCTGTTCCTAGAATCAAGCACTATAGTTCTTATAGATGTGTTTCATGCAAATTCATGAGATTTCATGCAAATTCAAACAAATATAATGGCATCTTAATGTACAAGTAAGACTAAACTATATTGTCCTGTACTTTCCCCCCATATTTAGTGTTTTGGTAATCTTTCTTTGTTATCTCCCTTTCTGGGGTTATGTTATATTTTATTGTAGTATTATGACATATTCACCTAGTTCCACACTGTAGGTAGGACATTTAAGTTGTTCTAGGCTTGTTTTTTGTTTGTTTGTTTGTTTTGTTTTTATTTTCATTGCATGATGACTGAGCCACATCTTCAGTCAATAACCTCTTATACTTAATCAAGTACCAACCAAGAGACCCAGGCCCCGAAGCCTGAATTCCTGTGTCCTAATGTAACAACTGACTTCATATAAGTCAAGGAATTACTGTTAGTACTTTTGGCTTATACCTCACTTTGCAGGACTAGCTTTCTCCCAATCCTCACTCACCAGACTTAAGGAGTATTACTGTTTCCTAAACAAACACCAAACCCACCATCAACTGAGGAGTCTTGCCAAAGAAGGCAGGCCCAGAAGGAACACAGACAATGTCTGAATCAAAAATAAGTACAAATCTCACTCACAAGGGGTAGGAATGATTTGGACATGGGTACATTTTAGAAAATTGTCTGTGTGCTACTGAAGCCCTGTCACTCCTATCTATGTATTGGTGTGCACACACAATCATAACCTATCTGTTTGCACATTCATACAAATATACACCCAATCATCACCATCTCAACTCATCATCTTAATGTCCTGGCCTCTGCCTCAAACACAGTACACAGCTTAATTTACTATTGAAACTCAGAATAGATAAAGGTTCTATATAGAAGCAGTGTTTTTAAAATGCATGTTATTCAGTAGTCTTTTTTTTTTTTTTTTTTTTTTTTGGTTTTTCGAGACAGGGTTTCTCTGTGTAGCTTTGCGCCTTTTCCTGGAACTCACTTGGTAGCCCAGGCTGGCCTCGAACTCACAGAGATCCGCCTGGCTCTGCCTCCCGAGTGCTGGGATTAAAGGCGTGCGCCACCACCGCCCGGCAGTAGTCTATTTTTAAACCAAATGTGGACATTCCAATAATAACCATACATAATCTCACATGGAACTTTGCGGTTCAATTCACTGATTTAAATGGAATTAGTTCCAAAATGGTGGTGACTGGTCATTTCTTTTGTTTAGAATGATTTCCTGGGAAAGTTTCCTAATTGTTAGGATTTAAGCTACAGGGCACTGCCTCTGTCTCTAGTTTCTTTCAAAGGCAGCATATATCCTATCAAGAACAAAGACCTAAAAATCTTAAGGCCTTGTGGGAATAGTTCAGTAGTAGAACATATGTTCAACATGCTTAAGGCTCTGGGTCTATCATCAACATATGTATGTATGCACAAACATGCACATGCACACATACATAATATACACATATAAGGGCAGTATGGACAGAGTCTTGTATGCTGGCTAGTTTATGCCAACTTGATACAAGGTAGAGTTATCTGAAACAAGGTTAACATCAGTTGAGAAAAATGCCTCCATTAGCTCTGTCTGTAAGGCATTTTCTTAATTAGTGATTGATGGGGGAGGGCCCAGCCCACTGTGGGTGGTGCCATCCCTGGGATGGTAATCCTTGGTTCTATAAGAAAACAGGCTGAGCAAGCCATGAGGAGCAAGCCAGTAAGTAGCACCCCTCTATGGCCTCTGCATCAGCTCTGGCCTCCAGGTTCCTGCCCTGTTTGCGTTCCTGTTATGACTACCTTCAGTGATGAACAGCAATGCTGAAGTATAGGCAAAATAAACCCTTTCCTCTCCAACTTGCTTTAGATCATGGTGTTTCTTTGCAGCAATAGGAACTCTAAGACATCTTGCATCCTACCAGAGGTAGAGGGCAAAGGGGAACATGCTGAAAAGGACAGGACAGCAGATCAGTCTGTACAGAACAGGAGTAAACAGTGTTTGTGCAATGATGGACACTTCGATGTGAAGCTAAAGACAGCAAAACATCTGAAGACATATACAGATGATAAACAGCCCTATGTATAATTTCCCTTCCCATAATAACATCCTTTATCTGCAAAGAACTTCATAGTTTCAAGTTCTTTCACATAAAACACTGTGCCAGAGTTTGCTGCTTATTAACAGCCCATGAGTCCCCATTTTGACCTTGCTCCATGCCAGAGAATGAATCTTTTGTCCAAGTCAAGTAGTTTGCAGTTTGGACTGTACAGTAAAGTCACCTTGGGAGTTTTGAAAACCCTAATGCTTGGGTCTGGAGACCTCACCATAGACTGAATGGATCCGATCTCCTGGGCTTGGGGTGAAGCTCAATAGTGGAGCGCCTACTGAGGGATGGTCTTTCTATATGCTGTGAATATGTGTTACTCCCATTGATTGATAAAGTTGTTTGGCCAATGGCAAGGCAGAATAAGGTTAGGTGGTACTATCAAATTGAAGATGGAGATGAAGAAGGGTGGAATCGGGCAGACTCCAGCCAGCTGCCAAGGAAGAAAGGTGTATAGAAAATGAGGGAACAAGCCACAAACCATGTGGCAGAGCATAGATAATAAATATGGGTTAATTTAAATGTAAGAGCTAGCTAATAATAAGCCTGAGCCATTGGCCAAATATTTATAACCAATATAAGCCTCTGAGTTGTAGTAGGACAGGCCCATAGGGTCGAGGAAATTGGCTCAGACCAGTTGCCAGGGCATGCACATAACATATGAGCCAACCTGGAGTCTGCCTGAGGGCCTAGCAACAGGTGCTGTCAGAGTTCTTGGTTGCTGTCAGAGTTCCTGATCATGCCCAGCCAATGATGGACGACCATGCAATGCCACCAGATTGCCACACAGACTGGGTGCTGGGAGGAGGGTATATAAGGCCTTCCCCATCATTGAATAAATGAGTCTGCTGTTTGCCTTCAACTGACTCCCAGTGTCTGTGCTGTTGATGCCATGCCTTCTCACCCCCTCCCCCAAGGGAGCCATTAGAATCCAGCAATATCTGGTTCCTGATGTGGGGCTTCTGTTACTTTGTTTCTCCCAGTGCAGGTTCTGATTGGCTCCTTCTCTTCACTCATGGTGCTTGACAGTGCCCCCCCAAGACGGTGTGTTTCAATGAGAAGGTCCCTAAGTGTTGTGTTCTTTCAGTCCCTTTGGCAGTTAAACATTGGGACCCTCCACTTCTTTCCTTCTTTTGTGTTGTCTGTCATGTTTGTCTGCCTGTCCCATTAGGAAGGCACATTTTTTGTTCTGTTTCAGTTTGCCCGGTGCCTCCACATAAAAATTGACCCCCCAAGAGGTGGAACCAAGGCTTGGCTCCCAAACCGTGGTCCCTTGTCCAGAGTCACCATGTGGGCATACATCTGTGGGCTAAAAAACCATGGAAGTTCCTCACTAAGCACAAGACATAAGGGTCTGATACAAATTTTCACCCCTGTTGCTGTCATCTTCTCTCTGACTGTTGTTTGTTTGCTGTTTCCCTCTAAAAAGATGGGTAATGTTTTCATTACCCCCACAACTTCCATGTCGAATATCTCTACAACATCTAATGATGAGAAGACAAACAGTTTGGGCCCCCATGAAATCTGTCAGTTTGGGCCCTGTGAAATCTGTCAAGGAGAACATAGCTGTCAGTTTGGGCCCTGTGAAATCTGTCAAGGAGAAGGCAGCTGTCATTAAGTCATGTGCTTCTCTCCCCTCTACTCCACCATCACCACGTGCAGCTATGCCTCTGCCGTGGTATTCTTGGAGTGATCTAACCCAGTACCTGTCTGCCTCAAGAAGTAGCTACTCTCCCATGGTACCAGGTGTCTTATGACCCTCACAGCCTGTCCCACTGTCAGTCTGTAGGCCCACAGAAGCCTTCCCAGTCAATGTGAGCCCAAATACCAATGCCCAGCCTGGATTCCCACCCCCATAGCTGAACTCTCGCTCATTCAGAAGGCAGCCAATAAGTCAGACCCAGATTCTTCCTACTTTCAGCAGGTCCTTGCTCAATGGTCCATGCAGTTACAAACTTATTTTGATTGGTACCATTTGCTTAAAGCTATGTTGGAGCCTGCAGTCTTTCTCAGTTAGAGATCAGCCTGTGATGATCAGGCAGAATCCCAGGCCTGGAGGAACATCTTACTTAACATCCCAGTGACCTTTGATATGCTCACAGGGCATGGGGAATATGTCCATCCTGTGCACCAAGCACAGACTGGCTTGAATGCCTATTTTCAACAGGTCTTGGACTTGACCTTCAAGGCCCTACAAGGGGCTCAGCTCAGCCTACAATCACTGGGTGTCTCTGCCAAAGAACATATCTCTGCCCCTGGTGAGATGGACAGATCCTATCTCCCTCCAATGGCAGCCACCAGCCCCCCTGCTAACCCATGGGAGAGGTATGCTTGTGTTTTCCTCAGAGTGCCACTATGCCAATGTGGATCCCAGCAAGAGATGTGCACCTGGTCGCAGATCAACATGCTTCCAGCAAGGAGGAAATAATCCAAGATGGGTAATATATATACTTTCCTGCTCTCATTGTCCCTCTAAAGGCTGAGGACTTGTGGAGCCTCACTTTTCCTCATTTTATATGATGGCTTTTTGAGATGAGGAACATTAGTTTAGCAGGCCATGAGCTAGCTAAATATATTAAGGGCCCCATGGTCAGCTAAGTTTCTATATTATCCATTACAGCTAAATCAGACAAGGGCAGAGGATATGGCTTTTGACTCTTTAGTTTTTGAAAAGGTTTCGCATGATATAAAGAGGCTGTTTGATTCCTCCTGGCTTTTCACTTATGTTTTGATTGGTGGGGTAGTGCTTTTAATCTTTCTCCTTTTCAAGTGTCTCCTATAGCACATCTGGCAACAACAGGTAGCCACTAAGGTGACTTTACAAGTGTTAATGGCTCTTAGATATCCAACTCATAGCCCTCCACAGGACATTATGCATGCCTGGCTTTCTAAAATTCAAAAGGCTACTGCCTGACCCTCCCCACCCAGGATGACTCCCCGGGGATGGACGCTCTTCAAGGGCTGATAGTCAATGATGGATAAGAGCTTGTTTGGCAAGCAAACCAAAGACAGATGGGCACAGTCCAATTGCTGAGCCCCCCTGAGGTGGGGTCAACAAGGCCAGAGCAAAGAACTCTGACTCCCACTGAGTGCCCACATAATAAAATAAAAGGGTGGATATGTAGTAGGACAGCCCATAGGGTCGAGGAAATTGGCTCAGACCAGTTGCTAAGGCATGCTCATAACATACTTCCTTTTGAGTCAACCTGGAGTCTGCCTGAGGGCCTAGCAACAGGTGCTGTCAGAGTTCCTGATTGCTATAAAAGTTCCTGATCATGCCCAGCCAATGAGGGCCAACCATGCAATGCCACCAGATTGAGACCCAGCTTGGGTGCTAGGAGGAGGTTATATAAGGCCTTCTCCATTATTGAGTAAATGAGTTTGTTGTTTGCCTTTAACTGACTCCTGGTGTCTGTGCCGTTGACACCACACCTTCTCACCCCCTACCCTGAGGGAGCTGTTAGGATCCAGCAACAATGAGTGATTATTTGGAAATGGTTGTGGGACAGGGCGGGACAGAGATAAACCTCTGGTTAAATATGGCCCCAATGTTTGGCAACTCCATCCACAAAAAATCTGAGAGAGCTTTAAAAAAAAAAGTTTCTAAAATGGAGTCAAGAGCAGCTTCATAGTTCATGTCTCTCATATGGGCTGTGGTACAGAGACTCATCCTCTGTCTGAGGCATGCATGCTTGAGCAGCAACATGGTGGGTTCCCACCAGGCCTCGTGCTGCATGGCAGGTTTAAGGCTTTTGCTCAGACAGAAAAAAATACTAAAAGATACACAGTAAAAAAGAAGTTCAGACAGAAAAACCTCTAAACAGGTTCCAGTATGTTTTACAACGTGCGTAGGCTTAAGAAAGAAATAAAATGGGTATTGACAGATATAAAAAGGAATAAATAATTAAAAAATAATACAATAAAGTCTTTAAAGAGAGAAGTAAGGGGTTGGGGAAATGACTCAGGGGTTAAGAGCACTGACTGCTCTTCCAGAGGACCCAGGCAGCCTACATGGCAGCTCACAACTGTCTGTAATTTCAGTTTCAAGGGACCCAACACCCATGGCAAAACACTAGTACACATAAAATAAAAATAAATAAAAAAAAGATAAATAAAATAATAAAAAATAAGCCATATAAAGATGGAAAATACACAGTGAGTCTGAATCCTGTGTGTTATTGTGTGATTTTGATTTTTTTTATGGCTGATGGGCAAGAGACAGCTTCTGGGAGACATGGGCTTGAAAGAGGGACTGATGAAATATACCAACCTAAATATTTTAAGAATGCTTTAACTTTAAAACAGAAGTCAAAAAATATATTTGTAAAATGGAACTCAAAAGATGCATTGCTTTGGAGAAGAGGTTTTGCTTTTATTTCCACAGGAAACAAGTGGCAGTGGATTCACTCCAGATTAATATGGACCAGGTTTGTTCAAGGGAGACCTCCTGAACCTTGACAGGTGTTATCTATCAACAAAGGTTATAGCTGATCTTCCCAGGACTTGACCATTATCTCAAATTTTCTCAGGGTTCACATAAGATTACCAGTGCCCCCAATCAACAGGAAGTAGTCTAAAGAACTATGTCAAAATTCCCAAAATAAATTTTATGAATGTTTGTTTTCATTTAAGAGGGGTTGATTATAAGAAAAGGTAGATTATTGAATCTACTTTAATCCAAAAGATAACTGTTAATCTCAAAATATTTTACATTGATATAGATTTTGGTTTATTGATACAAATTTAAGGTCAATTTTGTTATACTGTGTGTATATTTCTACTCTTGTTTAAGGTATTATATTTTTGCAGCTCTTTTAAAAATATATTGTATAGTTAAAAAATACAGATTGTTAGTCATTATAATAGTCAGAGTTACAGCCATATTAGTTAGGTTTTCTAGGTATACAAAGATATATTTCAATTAGGTAGGTAATCTTCAAACACTTTAAAGACCTACAGAATATGGTATTTAAAACGTTTTAAGAACTTCGACTTTTTTCGACAGTGAGACACGTCTGCTCCTGACAGCACCAATTACTTCAAAGAGGGTGATGGGCATCGAAGAAACTCCTTATGGACTTTGCTTTCAATGTGGCAAGAGTAGCTGTTTGGGTAAGAAACTGCTCTTGCCTGGACTGCTTGATAATATGCTGTATAAATTGGACATGCAGGACCCACAAAAATAAATGACCACTGAACTTTGCCAAAACAAGGCAGGACAGTCCTTCAGGGTTCCTGCTTCACAAAAGAAACTGCCAGACATTCTTCAGAACATAGAGGAAAGTGACTGACAAACTTTGCCAAAATAGGTGGGACAGTCTTTCAAATTTCCTGCTTCACTGAAAAGTCTGCCAGATACCCTATACCTATAGGCTGAAGATGGATGCCTCAATGTTACAGAACTATCCAGGAAGCTAGATGTCTCTGTCATTTCTAGAGTTTGGAAGTTGCTTGCAATGCACTTCCTGTTTACTCAGGTAATATTATATCTGTCTGGGGTTTTTGATGTAGTTGAAGACTAAATAGTTATAATTATAGTTTTCCTTAGTTATGATAAAATGTAAATTAGATATAAAACTTTAGAATCACAAAGACAGGATAGATGATAGAGTATTTTCTCTAATTTTGCCAAATACAAATAGACTTGTATTTGTATATACAAATATTTTTACTTGATAATTGTTTATTATATGCAATTTTACTATGTCAAAGTTAAAACCTTCCTTTTTGATTAGACAGAAAAGGGGAAATTCTGTGGGATGGTCTTTCTGTATGATGTGAATATGTGTTGCTCTCATTGGTTGTAAATAAAGCTGTTTGGCCAATGGCAAGGCAGAATAAGGTTAGGTGGTACTATCAAATTGAAGATGGAGATAAAGAAGGGTGGAGTTGGGCAGATGCCAGCCAGTTGCCAAGGAAGCAAGATGTATAGAAAGTGAAGTAACAAGCCACAAATCATGTGGCAGAGTACAGATAATAAATATGGGTTAATTTAAATGTAAGAGCTAGCTAATAATAAGCCTGAGTCATTGGCCAAATATTTATAACTAATATAAGCCTCTGAGTGATTATTTGGAAATGGCTGTGGGACAGGGTGGGACAGAGAAAAGCCTCTGGTTACATATAACATGTGTTGGACCGTGGGTTTTATCTCCAACACCAAGCTCTGTCTCACAAACATCTCTGGTGGGGAATGGGGGGACTTAGGCATGGGCATTTTTTTTAATTTTTATTTTTATTTTGCAATACAATTCAGTTCTACATATCAGCCACGGATTCCCTTGTTCTCCCCCCTTTAGGCCCCCTCATCTTCCCCCTAGCCCACTCCCCATTCCCACCTCCTCCAGGGCAAAGCCTCCCCCACAGACTGAGATCAACCTGGTAGACTCAGTCCAGGCAGGTCCAGTCCCCTCCTCCCAGGCCGAGCCAAGCGACCCTGTTTAAGGCCCAGGTTTCAAACAGCCAACTCATGCAATGAGCACAGGACCCGGTCCCACTGCCTGGATGCCTCCCAAACAGATCAAGCCAATCAACTGTCTCACCCATTCAGAGGGCCTGATCCAGTTGGTGACCCCTCAGCCATTGGTTCATAGTTCATGTGTTTCCATTCGTTTGGCTATTTGTCCCTGTGCTTTATCCAACCTTGGTCTCAACAATTCTCGCTCATATAAACCCTCCTCATTCTCGCTAATTGGACTCCCAGAGATCCACCCGGGGCCTAGGCATGGGCATTTTTCTAAAAGCTCCTCAGTTGGATGTATAGTAATGATTCTCTCCTACCCATATGGTTTTCCTTTCTCAGGCTCCAATTACCTACTATCAACCACAGCCTTAGTAATACAAAATTGCAGAAATAATTTATAAGCTTAACTATGCTGCTCTGAGTAGCACAATGAACTGTCACACAGTCCTGCTCTATTCTATTGAGATGGAAATCATCCTTTGTCCAGAATATTCACATTGATCCACACTGTATACACTACCTGCCTCATGGCAGCCCAGAAACAATACACTGAGACAACTTTTATTATAATCCATTATTATAATCATTCTATTTTATTATTATTGTTAATATTTTAATGTACCTATTATAAAAATCAAATTTTCTCATAGGTATGTATGAATAGGGAAGATCATGGTACATATAAGGTTCAATAGTATCCAAGGGTTTCAGAAACATACTCACCAAATAAGGCAACTGTAATTTTCACAGAACTGAGAACTGCTGCTAAGAGCCACTCAATATGCTTCCAATCCCTTATGCCAATTATTGGCCTAGGGCAGGCCATGCGAGCTAGTTCTAGCCAGTGAGAAGTCAGCTAGTAGGTCTAATAGCTGGTGAGTTCTGAGAAAGATGTTTATAACCAGATTATCTTCCTAGGAGCCAGAAATACAAACATTTTACTAACTCCACACATTGATATTAAGTATCCAATGCAGGAGGAAGAGCTCAGTCACAAGGCTGCAGGAGCAGAGACTCAGGATCAAAAGCTACAAGAGCCTAAAACTTCTACCCATATGTCCCTGTAGTTCTACAGAGCAGCCCCATTAGACTTCCAAATAGCAGCACCAGCATCTCCATTCACAGTCACTATCACCCACACAGACTTACATTCCCTAGAGTACAAAGTCCTATACCCTTATCTCTATTTCCCTGCCCCAGACATCATTCAGTGTGTCAAAACAAATTAGGGGAAGAGGTGGAAAAATGTTCCTAGGAGATTGTCATGTCTTAAAACCATAAAATGCTTCAACTTTTGCCCACAGGAGGCATTTCCTGTGGTCTGTGAAAGTGAGTTAGGGACCATTATATTCCATCTGTAAATATGGTGTAACTGATGATAGGATGTTTATGTTAAGATGTGGTGAGTCAAAAAAAAAAAAGATGTGAGGAGTCTAACACTCTGGCTGGCTTTTGGGAACCTATTCCTCAGTTGCCTTGCCCAGCTTTAATACAAGGGGAGATGCGTAGTCTTACTGCAACTTAAAATGCCATGCTTTGTTGATATCCATGGGAGGATATGGAAAAGAAACAGAGGAGGAGTAGATTGGGGTGGGGGGAGGGGGGAGGGAGGTGGAGGAAGAAAATGGGAGGAGAGAAGGGAGGGGAAACTGTAGTCGGTCTGTAAAATAAATAAATTTAATTAAAAAAATACGCGAGGAGTCACCTTGTGCCTTACCATCCTTCATTCTAGAAATCAGGAAAGAACAGAGACTTCCTAGCAATTATACAAACTGACTTGATTACTGGGAGAAACAAATTCAGTTAACCAGCTTCCTGAAACCACTCTGAAACACTAGGTCTATTAACAACAACAACAAAAAAAATCCATCTTCATTAACATCTTCAACTTTTGTCCCTCCATCCCATCCCAGGGGAATACTGAATTACACCATAAAATAATGAATAGAAACTTAAGTCATTTCCGGCTCTTTTTTTCCTCCTCTGGTCTGCACTGTACAGATGGCAGCAGGCACTCTTCCAATTTACAGTGTTTGGGGAAATGCATTCCCATGCCGCTGACTAGAGTCCTATGGTGAACATCATGCAGAACAAGCTTTCCCTCAGCCCAATGTTACACAGCATCTATTAAATCAACACTGGACACATACAGAGACTGTTCCAGGCCATTTTAGCAACCACTTTATAGAGAATGAACAAAAAGAGAGAGATTTACTTGATAAATTGTTAACTGCCAATCTAAGATCCCATCTATCAAAATCAACAGAATGGAGGTGGGGAAAGCCCAGCTCAGCCTTCTTACAGGAAGCTGACCAAGCAGCTTTTGTGACCTGATACAAACGGGATATGGTCAGATATCCTGCAAACATCAGTCAGCCTCTAGAGAGAGGGGAAAGGAGAGACAGGAAGGGAGAAGGGCATACACAAGCCAGGGAAAAGAAATGTCAGTTGTACTTGTTTAAAATAGGGTTGGAGACACACAACTGTGCATAAACTGTCACAAGAGCTGCCTGACAGTGCTCACATGCTGAGTACTCAGGAAGAATGCTCTGGAGCCCGAGGAGAAGAGAGGCAAAACATTAGGCAGAAAAACTATGGATAAGTAGGGGCAGAATTCACACTTTTTTGTGACACCTTGTTTTTGGTTTTGTTTTCCTCCTCTGGAGGCAGACACTATGGCAAAAGGCTGCTCCACAGGACAAAGCCATCAACTTCAGAACCATCAGTCTCGAAGGGTTCTCTAAATCCCATGCTCCACTCTTCTTGTCAGTTCCCAGTCTCAAGTTGCATTAGGATGCTTTAAGCTTTCTCTATTGTCTTTGGACCTCTGATGTCTTAAAAGGGGATATGGGAGAGCAGTGCTCTGGATGCTGCTTCAGTTACACTTATACATCTTCTGTCACGTCTAAGTCCTCCTCTGAGAAGGGAGGTGGCTAAACAAGTGAACCATTGAAACACCTCAATTCTACCAAGCAGGACTTCTTGAACGTGTTCTGACAGCATGCGATTCAGGACAGCACTGTCCCCTCTAGCCACCCTCCAACTCCCTGTTCCCCACCGCTGGTCATTTCAGGATCCCTCAAACACCATTCCTTATAATCTGCCCTGTCTTGAGTCACCTTACCTGGATCAGCCCCGGGTCAGGGTTCAAGATCAGGGTGTTACGTGGCCCAGTTGGCCTTGGTCTCCAGGGGTGTCTCCCCTTCCCTGGCGGTCTCCACATCGCCCTTGTCTCTGCTGCGAGGGTAGGCCAGCAGCCGCATGGCGGGGGCGCAGGCGGCCTCCACCTGGCGCACCTGCTCTTGGCTCAGACGCTCTCGCCAGGCGTATACAGCCTCTCGGGCGTCCCGAGCAGACAAGTGGAAGGGCCGATCGGCTCCGTAGGCCGAGCCGCGTGTCATGTTGAACGCGAAGGCATCAAGCGCGGCGAGCGCCCGCAGCCCAGAGAAGCGCAGCAGGCGGCGCAGCTGGGCTTGCGGCTGCCACACCAGGTCCTCATAGCGCAGCCTCAGGTAGCGACGCCTCAGCCAAGTGGGCGCGCCACGCGCGAATAGCAGGTCGCGCAGCCAGGCCTCACAGATCACCTCGAGCGCGCTGGTTAGGAAGAAATCGGCTCGCGGCGCGGAGGGCAGCGCTCGGGTCTGGCCTCCCGGACGGGCACCCACGCCGTGCGCCAGAAGCACCCGGTGGAAGCGGTCCCCCCTCTGGCGCGTGCGTAGCACCTGGATGCTCTCGCGCAGCAGCCCGTGCCTCGACTTGAGACGAGAATTGTGCACCGCCCGCGGGTCACGGAAGAGCTGCACCACCTTCAGGTTGAGGCCAGGGTCACGGAGCAGGGGCACCAGTACGCCCAGGTCGAGCAGCCGGACGTCCTTGATGACCACCACCGGGTACTTGCGGCACTCTGCCTCCAGGGCGCGGAGCGGCACGGGCGGGCAGCTACTTTCGCAGGCTTTGTCCTCGACGAGGCCCACCTCGGAGCGAGCGCGGGGCGCGGCAGGGCACAGCGGCGGCGAGCAGATGACCTTGTTGGTCCGCCAGCGGAAGAGCATGGCTGTAGTGAGGTTGGCCGAGTCCGGTGCTCCCGCTGTGGGGTCCCCGGACTGCGCGTACAGCCGCAGCACGGAGAAGTCACAGCGGAAGAGGGAGCGCAGCATGTCTCTAAGCGCGCCTTGCAGGCTCTCAGCGTCGCCCGGATACAGCGCCTGCCACAGATGCCACATAGGCTCGTACAAGTAGAAAACGTCCGGGTGCTGGTTGAAGAGTTCGCCTAGAAAGGATGAGCCGGTACGCCAGGTGGCATGCACATAGATGTGTTGCTTCTCCTGGGCCACTGCCTCACCGACTGCGCTGAGGTTGCCTGGGGACCCAGGGGATCTACCCGCATCTCCTTCGGCCCAGGACCCCACCTCCGCGCCCTGCTCACGCTCTCCAGCCGCCGCCGCCTCCAAGCTCCACACGCCCAAGCTGCGCTGCAGGCCGGGGCAGTGCCTGACGCCCTTGTCCTGCTCGCTGCCACTGTCCAGTACAGAGGGGACAAGCAGTAGCAGAAGCGTGTACAGCACCAAGAGCAGCGTGAACTTGCAGTACTCTCGG